AAATTGAGCTTCCCGGTAGAACAAATGATGGCAAACCAGAAGTAATCAAGCTTCATAAATGAAAAATTTGTATTACTAAAGCTCCAAGCTAGAATCCTATGACCTTCAACTAATCTGCCTGTTGCTCCAGTGAATCCAATAAACATTTCATCTTCAAAAACATCAGATAAATCAAGAGAAAAATTTAGTAAAGGCCGTCTAGGTTTTTTCTTCCCTACTGGTGCCATAGTAACATTAATTACAGAATCTGCATAATCGATCCAAACTTGATAGTTTTTACCATTATTAAGCTTCACTTCCTCGAATGATTCCTCGTCGCCGGCGGCACTGTTATCGGGCCAAAACCCGGCCCGGTGTGCTCCAACCGATTTGAGAGAGTTAACATCAACACCCACATGATTATCGTCAATATCATCGAATTCTTGGTTCTTGAAAACATCAAACTCAATGCCGAGAACGTGGTTGTTGGAGTCCCCGTTGTTGGTGAGATTAAACAGACCCAGATGTTGGGCAGAGCTGGATCCTTGGATACCGGTAAAGGGTATGAAGATGAAGACTATGCCATGGCCCGGGAGAACACCTTTGAGAGGAGCTATGGAGAATATGAAAGAGGTAGAGAAAGGAAGGACGATAGAGGTATTTGGGTCTTTTGTGAGGATTTTTGTCGAGTAAAGAGCTCGACCGATTGTGAAAGATGTGTTTCTTGTGAGTGTGAGAATTCGAGAATCAATGGTGGCGTTGCCGAAGAGTAGGAGATCAGAGGAGTTGAAGCCATTGAAGAGAAGATCAACAGCTGAAATTGACGGAGAAAGGAGGAAAATAAAGAGAAGGAGAGGTTGTGGGTGTGTGTTCATTTCTGTAAAAATGCAAAAGCTAAAGCGAGTCCTTCATGGAAGTTGAACGGAGAGAAGGTGAATGGAACAATGGGAGAAAAACCAAGACATGATAATCTTGAAAAGAAAGAAACTTTGTGATCTTTAGCAGCCAGTACCTGCCAACCAGTTTGATTAGTCAACTTTTAAGGCTTTTGATTTGATGGGTTTTTGCACTTTTGAAGTATAAATTCTTATATTTAATTATTTATAAAGTAATAACTATAATTTCTTTACAACAATATACGTATATAATATAACTTTTTATCAAAACATATAAAATGCTTAACTTTGTATTTGAGTAGGTATTAGCTTTGAATTTGTCCATGTAGGTAGATTTTTTCTTCTCCTAAAATATGATCTGTTCTCCCCATGGTTTCTGTTAATTTGGGTTCCCTCTGAGAGACAGAAAGAACCCTTTGTATATATCCATATAACATATATATATATATATATATATTCCAGAAAACCTTGCAATGAATTTCTTTTTTAAAATATTTTCTCGACAGTTTTTCAAATTTGTCTTTTCGACGTAAAAGTAAATATAAGGGATTAAACAATCAGAAAAAGAAAAAAAAAAAAAAACAAACTTGGCTTTTATATTTCTCACCAGTTTTCCTGCTTCGTAGTCTATTCATATTGGCGTTGACTTCCTCATAATATACGTATGTACATACAGATATTTTCAGGTTAGGGTTTTACAATAAATATATGGGTGTGGATTTGCAAGATATTTGACTTTATCCATCAACAAAGATTTTTCATGCATATGTCACCTTTCTGAATGCGTGTGTGTATATATATATATATATATATGTATATATATTTATCATCATGCTAGAAAATTGCAGAATCCTCTTGATGATATTGTGAAGAAGATTGTCCAAAACCGCCGATCTATAACATATACATTTCATACTTGTTAGAGTTATTTCTTTCTTACCTCCAAAAACTCTAAAAATTTCTTCAAATTTTTGTACTTGTCGTTCGAAAGACACGATTAAAACTAACCTGAACAAATTTATAACTTATTAAAATTTATTCGAATTCTCTATTTACATTATCGTCTTAAATATGTATTTGTCAATCTATCAATCATATTCTAACCTAATCCGAATTTTTTAGAATTTTATTATTTGAAAAAAAAAAGTCAAAGGCTTTTTTTAACTTTTACCTTTTTTTTTTGTTCTTGAAGAATAAAAGCTATTTCATTTGTCAAATGTAGGACATAATTTCTTTTATTAATTATATATTTAGTAGAAAATTTTATTATGAATATACAACTTTTCTATTAGATATCTTTAATTAATATATAATATTATAAGATGATATGAACGTGATTATTCTTGCGAATGCATGAACTAATCTCATACGTATTACCATTAATTTTTATATAAATTTTAACACAATTTGGTTTTTAATTTTACCGCATAAAACAAACTATTTTTATCCGTTAGTGTATTTAGATATAAAAAATAATATTCTCTAACATTTAAGTTAATTAAAATTTTATAAGATTATTAACTAAATTAGTAATTTTTCTCTTTATTTTATAAAGATGATTGAATTTAAGTCGAACTGTGTGTGTCATATGTCTGATTAAAAACTTATAGTGTTATAAAATTAGTTACAAACTTTTAATAATAAATTATTTTGAGATATCTACAATATTAAATATTTATTAATTTAAATAAAATTAAAAATTTATTTATTGATATAACGAGGTAAGGTATACTTGGAGCGAGATGGGTAAATTATTGAATATATATCCATTTTATACTCATTTTTAAATTCGTAAATTTTTATTCATACCCGACTTATATCTTGTTAATTATAAATTTTTATCCATTTCATATACGGTCGATTAAATCAATTAGCGGGTCATCTATTCTAATTCCGTTTTTTATTTTAAATAATAATTAAAATTAAAATTTATATCTTAAATTATAATTCAGATAACCGCGGAATGAGAACGCGTTATTTCATTTCATTTCGGGTATGCTTATTAAAAAAATTATTGTTTTAACACTGAGTCTACAAGTTCTACAAAGTAAAATATGTAATTTTTCTTAAAATGATATTCAATTTGACCGAGAGAAGTTGGACCGTTTGTTTGTCGTCACGCGTACATATAACATCTTTGGTCGCCATCATTTAATTTCATTTAAGACCATTTTATAAATTATTAATAATTGAATTATGAATAAAAATTATTTTAAATTTCTGTAGACTTTAGATAACCATTATATTAACAGGTAATGATACATTTTGTTATCTATTTTTTTTAATTTAAAAAATAAATATATGATAAAATATAATTAAAAAAAATATTAAGTATTAAGTAAAATCATGGTAATCATTTTTAAAAATTATAAAGTATCATAATATATATGCTTACACGTTACGACTTAAAAAATAAATTAAAACGTATATTATTGCGTATTAAATTATTATAAAATTTCAGATATTACAAAAATTAGATGTGTAAATTTTGTTACTTTGGTCAAAATTTGTTTAAAATTAAAATGATCGTAGTAATAAAATAAATTATTTAAATTAATCAAATTTTAATTTAATTGACCTAATTATCAATCGAATGATAGAATTAAAAACATTTTTATCTTTGATTTTTGAAAAAATAATACAAATTATTTAATTCATCGACTAAATTAATAAAACTATTTGAAATAATCTCTCGTGTTTAGGTTTGAGATTTCGAAACCTTTGATAATCAATGTTTGAAGCCCATTGCGCAGGTTAGAAGAGAGCTTCTTACCTATATGGAAGATTGATTTTAATTAGTTGTGTACATATAAATAAGAATGATATTTTGAATTCAAATCTCATGTAATATGAAATATGTAATACCCTTAAATTAAAATTTAAAATTAATGCATAAAAATTTGATTTTTTAATTTATGAATTTTTATTTAATGTAAAAATCAGAAAAAAAAATATGTGGAGAATGAAATTGAAAATAATTTTAGGAGAAATTGGTGAAAATTTGGATTTTGAGATTGTTTCTTTTAAAAAAAATCGAAAACTGTAAGTCAAAATGTAATTTAGAAAAAATGTGTCACGTAGGACTGCACAGTCAGCATGCCCGACGAATCAGAGCGCGCCGCGTTGTAAGGCCCGCAGATGCGGTGCCACGCGGGAGGTCACGCTAGCGATCCGCGTGCCCGCGATTAGACGGTCCAGATTTGTTATCGCATGCGTGGGCGGTGCAGATCCGTTCCTTCCTCAGGTGCAATCAGACGGTCATGATTAAACGCGATGGACGACCTAGATTCATTCTATCTTTAAACTCGATCGTACGATCTATATCAAATCGCGATGAATGGTCCAGATTCATTTTCTATTTAAACGCAATCGAACGGTACAGATCAAACGCGATGGATGACCCAGATTAAAAAGAAGCGGATATAAATATCTCACTTCACACCAAACCCTAACTTTAGCCGTTAGCCCCTTGCTGGAAAAGAAGAAATAGTCACTTGAAAGGGAGCCGACCGCCGCTCGCCGCCGTGCTGGAGCCACCTTCGACTGCCAATGTAACGGCCCCGGAAATATTAAAATGAAATGAGTATTTAAATATATCAAATGCGGAAGCGAGATCAAAATTTCAGTTAACATCCCTTACACGAAAAACCAAAAACGTACTTAAAATATAAAAGATTAAACTAACTAAGAGAGAAACTCGAAAATAAAACTATGAGTATGACTACAGAGTCTCTAGGCATCCCCTTCGTCGTCCTCCTGCGGAACGGGCTCGGGAACCATGTCTTCCTGATCTGAAATGGTTAAATAAGGAGTGAGCTACACTAGCCCAGTAAGAACATCACGATATCTCACCGTCACGGAGGTAAAGGTGGGTAGAAAAACACAAAAAGACCAATGGAGCATAATTTACAATAAACTCGTTTATTAACATGAAAACCTTTACCATCCACTTACCTCGGTGGAATTTATGAAAACAATATAAGAAAAATAATAACATTATCATAATCATGGAATAATATAAGCTATAAAACATAACACTTATCACACCTCTTGTAATTCAATCATTGTACAACGTATCTTTTTCTCATTTACCAGCCTACTAGTATCCGTGGGGGTCCATAGGGGTTCCGCTACCCGTTAACCTTTAACATTCATAATCAGTTTCCAGGGCCGTCCCCATACCCCGTCCGGTATGGGCGCCAAAACCATGAACCTCAATACCCCGTCCGGTATGAGGGTGAAACGGGCCGTCCCCATACCCCGTCCGGTATGGGCGCCAAAACCATAAACCTCAATACCCCGTCCGGTATGAGGGTGAAACGGGCCGTCCCCATACCCCGTCCGATATGGGTGCCAAAACCATAAGATCTCCATACCCCGTCCGGCATGTGAGACCACAATCCCGGTAGGGTTCCCTACGGACCAGGTCCGTCCACCATCTCCCAGGATATCTAGTTAGGTTGACCCTCATAATACAATTATCAGTCTACACAATCTTTCATTTTCCTTTTCCTCAGTCAGCATCATCAATTCACATACAAACAAGCAAAACAGTAATTCATGCCGAACAGACAACATACAGTATCAGTTTTTCAGTCATTCAACCCATGATTAATAAAAACGTAGTATTTGCACACAAATCTGTAAAATGAACACATCAAACCTCATTTTGCATTTAAAGCTGTAAACAGGCTAAATAACAGTAAATCACCAATCACACTAGACTCGGGCTCCATTAGCCACCTTAAGCAATTTCACACATTCGTTAATTCAAGAAATACCGTTTTATCATTTTGAAATTTAATACCGTGATAGGAAATAGGGTGAGGGGTCCTTACTTGTTTTCGGGATCCGAATACGATTCACAGTGCGCCTGCAGGCCGTCCCTAATTTTCCCTGAATTTTTCCCGGGGAACTGAAACACACTAACAGTACCTGCACGTGTTCCAAAAAAAATCCAAATTAGGCCCAGGGCCCCTTTCGGACCAAATCACAACTCCGGCACGGCGGCTCCGCCGTGCTCCGGCGACGGCGAGTCGCCTCGGGTTGGCTGTTTTCGGCCGTTTTTGGCCGAATTCGGCCACACTCGCATTGGTCCT